ACTAGTCCGTCGTCTCTTCTGCCACCGCAGTTTGACCTCAGTTCAGATCTACTAACGTGTACAATCTCTGTGATTGTCAATTCGTGCGTGAACCCAGCAGTATTCATGTAGAATGATTGGCCCTTTTTAGGGCCCCCCACAGTACCCCAATTGGCATTTCCTGCGATTGCACATAGAGTTCACATAGCCAAAGTGCACATTTTACATGTAGTGAAAAAAAACCGTTGTGACAACAAACACACATACACACAATTTACATTTTATTTTTACAAAAAACGGTGTGACAACAACAACAAAAACACACACACACACGCACGCACGCACACGCACAATTTACATTTCATTTAAAACACACAATTTACATTTTATTTTTAAAAAAACGCACACGCGCACACGCGCGCGCACGCACGCACGCGCGCACATACGCGCGCACGCACACACACACAATTTACATTTCATTTAAAACACACAATTTACATTTATTTAAAAAAAAAACATTGTGACAACAAAAACACACACAATTTACATTTCATTTGAAAAAAAAAAAGGAAATTCACAATGGATCGCGTCGGTATTGAACACGGCATCTTTCATTTACAAGGCAGATGTGATACCAACTACGCTATGCACTCACATGTTGACATGTTATGAAAACATAACTAATATTGCAGACCGTCCAATTGCGCATCATCAAGCAGCCAAATGCGCATCAACAGACCGAAATATGTCGCACCATAAGACACTAGATGAACACTCAAAAACAGCAGCAGACAGCAGCACACTTGCACCCCTTGAAATAATGGACTGTCAAGTCAGCTGTGGAATTCCCACGGGAATTTCGTGTTTGGGGGAGGCAAAAAATATTGTACCGTTATATAAGTTCATAGGCCATTATGAATATCTCCGGTGTCATACACTGTGTTCAGTAACCTCGTGATCTGGTCTATTCCACATTTTTCTAATGCATTAATCATTTCACTTGTGATGTTGCCTGAATCTGGAGTCTTTCCACCTTTAATCTGATAAAAGGCATTCTGAACTTCCATCTTCAAAATTGGAAGTCCTTATTTCTTACAAGAGAATATGTTGTTTGTTTGTTTGTGTTAGTATCCAGAAGCCATGAGTTGTTAACCCTTAGGCTCGGTATTACGGATATCGCAACCTTGCTGCCTTGATTCCATTGTAAATACCATAAATCTGGAAGAAATGTGGCTTTTCTCCTATCCCCCGGGATTGAACCCGAACCACAAGGAGTTCGTCACCGCGCAATCCGGTTTAGCCAACTAGGCTAGAGAGCCGGGGACAAGATCCTTTACTTAACCTGAATATGCATCTATCTCATCTCTGGTCATGAGGATTTCACCTTCTTTTGTTTACGGTAATTTTGTGTGTTGTGTTTCAATTTCTCAGCAGTTTTCTCACAGCAATGCTATTTTTGATTCTTTACAAAGTCTTATAATTTTTTAATGAATCTCTTCACACGTTTTGTGATTATATTTTTTTTTGGCTTCTTCTCTCTTCCATTATTTTTAAAGTGTCTCCAGGCATCCATTTTCTACGATCTATCAACTTTTGTCTGTGGGATGACAGATATTGCAGCTTGACTGATTGAACAATATTTCCCATCGGTCAGTAACATCTTGAAATAGAATTTCTAAATCGGGCAAAGTATGACGTCTATTTTTTTTCTCTATGTTGAAATTGTCCTCAATATCCTTATTCTTTAGAGCACACGGATGTAATCTAATGTTTCTTGGTTTATGGTTATTTTTCATTAACTTTATATGTACTTTCCTTATAGCTAATCTATGATCACTCTAGTAGTTTGCTCCTGGTACAGTTTTGGGAATTTTCAAAGCATTTGGAAATCTTTGATTGATGAGGATATAATCAATCTGATTCCTGGTTTTATTGTCAGGACTTTTGCACGTCCACAAGCTTCTCAGATGTTTCAAATACCAGATGTTTCCTACTGCCTCGACCCTTTAATACAGTTCCTTTTGTTGTGGCGACCCACTAATAATTATTTTGCTTCATAACTTCAATGAATATGTGTTTTACGATAGTCTAAGACGACCCATGCGAAAGGGTCGTTCGACCCACACAAAAAAGGTCGCGCCTGGCAGGTTGAGAACCGCTGTTCTAGACGTTGGTGTAGTGTTATATTGTGCATAAGAGGCAGGAACCAACAGTCTGCATACAAATACAGATCTGTAAAAAGGATGCACATGTCAAATCAAGTTCTGGAACAAGACCAAAGTCAAGAAGTGGACGAGCAGCCACAATGTGACGCCAGAGTCTACAGCCGGTGAGCGCGAACAAAAAAAGAAAAAAAGAAAAACAAAGAAGAAGAAGAAGAAGAAGAAGAAGAAGAAGAAGAAGAAGAAGAAGCAGAAGCAGCAGCAGCAGCAGCAGCAGCAGCAGCAGAAGAAGAAGACGAAGAAGAAGAAGAAGAAGAAAGAAGAAGAAGAAGAAGAAGAAGAAGAAGAAGAAGAAGAAG